TGTTAGAATCCTTTATTAGAAGCAAGAGGTACACTGATATTGTAAGGAGAATTTATGAACCATTAAGGAAAAGATTTAAAACCTTTATTCAAATCCAAAGGTAGTTGCTTTTTAGAAGACCTCAAGTAAAAGTGATAATTATTATTCATAAACAACATTACAACAATTATTATTTAAATTCATTCTTCATATTTTTTTAATTATATCTTTTTTTGTCTTTATTCTTAATTTTGATTTTGTAAGTTTCATACAAGTTTCTCAAAAGTATTCCATATTAAGGAAATGTATTTATTGAGATCTCCTTAAAAAAAAACTGATATTAATTAATATTTATAGAGATTTAATGTTAAATGATACTACAATAAATTAATAATCCAAACAGAGAACAGTAAGCTAAATGAAGAGATTAAAATAAAGATTAATTTTAATTACTTAATTGAAAATTAAATTAACAAAAAACTGCATGATTATTTCATAAGATATTCTGATAATTTATTTACTTTATTACTATTTATAAACATAAGTCTTAATAGATATAATTAATAACTTTGTAAAATTAGTTTATAAATAGTAAAAGATTTATTAAATAACAAAGATATGACAAGAATGAAATAAAATATAGTTAATCTTCTAAACTATATAACAAAGTTATAAAATTATGATATTGATTAATTTTAATATTACTCTCAATTCAAGATAATGTATCAATCGCCTGTTAATTGATAAGATATTAAAAAACTTTGAAAACATATGAAAAATATTATATTTTTGTAATTATTAAGATTTAAGGAGATAATTATATCTTCTCTAACCATTTTATATATGAATCTTAATTATTGATTAACTTGAGCACAACGTGAAATTTTACATACATCAAATAATAAACAGTTATTACTCAATGTATAATCACTGTGGTCCCTTCGAAATGATTTTTACAAAATTAATTAATATCTAAACCAAAAATAATATCCCTTAAGTCTTTAAAAACTCATTAAATGGTTATATTTTACAATTAAATTAAGAAATTGCACTTAAATTGTAAAATTAAAAAGGAAATAATTATTGGTATTGATAAACACAATGGACAATCTTAATAAAATTTATCTTCTCTATAACAATCTCCGAAGATAAATTGAACGATAAATTATTTAAATATATAAAAAGCATTCATATTAATCACACTTAAATGCATGAGTATTTTCTCTTAAATTTCCAAAATAAATTTTTCAATAACATTATTAAAATTTAAAGTTTATAAAATCAATTTAATAAAAATAATTGTATTACTGTTAATTAAATCTGAGTTGATAAAAAAATAATTTTGTGAATATTAGAATATATTGACTTTCAAGAAATACGAAGATTAGAAAACTTAGGAATGATAAATGCTGAAAGATTTAGTTTTAGAATCTACTTTATAAATCTTGTACAATTCACATTCTAAATATAAATTAAGAGAAAATGCTTGGTAATGATAAGAATAATACCAAAAAAACAGTATACAAAGATTTAAGATATTATTGCATTCATGCAACTAAAAGTTCTATTTCATAATATTTTAAAAATGTGCTAAATTAATTTCCATTTTAGTAATGCTTCAAGATTGTTATAAAAGAAAAAACTAAAAAATAGAACTCTATCGACAAATATTGGACACAAGAAGTATATTAAAATAAATTTAAATTAAGGGCTAATATAGGTTAGTTTTTAAATTAATCAAGTGTTA